CTCACAGGGAGTGACACATGAGGAAGTACACTCCACTCCAAAATAACTGCATGATTTGTCAAATGTACCCAGACAAAAATCTGAAAAAGGTCAGAAAGGTGATGGAAATTGGAATGTTAGCATGGGTTTATCACGAAGACGTGGCCCCGCACTGGGGAGGAGCAGAGCAACACACCAAGACTGAGAGAAATAAATCTGTGAAGGGTTCCCCAGTGTGCTTCAAAAGCTCTGTTAGAAGTTACAGTGGGAGGCCCTCCCTGGTGGCGCAGAGGGTTAAAGCGCAGCACTGCAAACTAGTGGCAGCTGCTTCAGGGCCCGTTGGATCCCTGGCCCAGAAGTGACCCACATGGCGAGGCAGACCTTCCTGACCCGCCCGCTGCTCCCCTCAGCAGTGTCCTTCGTCAATCTGCCTGTTCTGCTCCCCACTCTGTCTCTGGTGAATCCTCTCAATGCCCCTACACCTCTGTCCTGTATTCCAGCTCTGCATGAATAAATATATCTTTAAAAAAGCTTTAAAATAAAAATTTTTTAAATGTCACCTTAAAAAAAAAAGAAATTACAGTGAGAACTGCTGCATTAGAAATGGGATCCCCAAATGCAATGGGGATAACTAGATCCTGGTGGCAGGGACCACATGGAGGCATTTAATTGCCAAAAGCAAGGTAGACATGGTTACCATAATGGACAGCAGAGGCAAAGCCATAATCAGAATATTCTGACTCACAACGGTATGAGCTAGTCGACCCATGTAAGTAGGAGTGTTCTGGGTCAAGTGAACTGAAGTCTAACTGGGAGCATAAAACAGAGTCTTGTTCCCTAAGTTGCAGACCTGGGCCATTGTATAGACCCAGTACCCTTTAGCAACGGGAGGCTGGGGCCCTTGAGGAAGGGTGTAGAGCCAGCACCCCAAGCCTGGCCAGCTTCATGATGCTGGCAGACCCGAGAAGAGTTAGGGAGCCTGGGGAGGCCCAACAGCATGTCTTTATGGAAGCAGCAGAAGACAAGATTCAGACAGCGTCCAGCAGGCAGCATCAGCTGCAGCTCTAGGGGAAGCCAGCAGGAGGGGGTCTTTGAGCCCCCCAACCCCCTGGGTCCCTCAGCCCTGGCAGCAGCAAAGGCAGCAGCAACAGCAATGGCAGGGGAGGCCCAGGAGGAGCCTGGGCATTTATGAGTCATAGCAAAGCCAGCACAGGATCAGAGTTATGCCTAGGTTACACAAGTTCGTTTTTCCCACATGTGAACGATCCATCAAGGTTACAAGTTATTTGCTGCTGTTAGCACGTGTGAACTCCATTCAAAGCTTGCATGGTATCTGCTAAGCCACCTGTGCTGGAAGGTCACTGCGGAAAAACAGCCTGAGAAACTCTGGTTTTTTGTTTGTTTGTTTGTTTTGTTTTTTACTTGCCCTACAAAGGGCGACTTTGCCAAAAATGTCTACCACTAATCTTTCCACCTGCCTTCCCTACTGGGATCTACAGCACTTTCTCAGGGTGGCCACACACTGGAGAAAAGGAAATGATCAAACTTTGCAGAAATTACTGGGCACTGGCTCTGAAGTCACACAAATTCCAGAAGACCCAACACATCACCGAGGCCAACCGGAAAGACTAGGAACTTATGAACGTGAAGTGATTCTAATCAAATGAAGGGATGGATGGCTGTTTAGCTCAGGTTCTTCTCATATCAGGCCCAAATCTATCCTGTGGTTATCACCCTGGTTCAGGAAAGCAGACTTGGAATAGACATATTCAGCAACTGGCAGAATCCCCTGAGGACTGAAGGTTGCTATGGTGGGAAATACCAAGTAGAAGCCACTAGAACTGTATCTAGGAAAATGATTACCAAAGTAACACTGCATTCCTGTAGGGAGAGAAGAAATTAGTGTGCTACCTTCAAAGGGTTAACAAGTATGGGGGTGGTGATTCCCATCACATTCCCATTTGGCCTGCCTATGTGGCCTATGGAGATAGATGAATCTTCCAGAATGACATTTATTATTATTATTATTATTATTAAATATTATTACCTGCTTTATTCATTCCTGCTCTAAAACACTTTCTTAATCGACAATGTCTACATTGACTTCTTTTGTCCTTGTCAACAACACACTGCCAACTGAACCTATAATATCAAA